TATTCTGAGAAAATAACTATTAATTTTAGCTTTTCTGAAACTCATTTACTTGCATTTCAACGATATGAAAGCAAAATTCTTAGCAAATCAAAAAAATCTTATCAATTACAAAATTAATGGTTTTTTTGTTTTTGTTGAGATAAGAAATAACTGATTAATCGAAAGTAAAAACGAGTAAAGAGTTAAATAATAGAAGAGTGATGAAAAGCTACACTAATTCTTGAAGTATTAATTACTTTAATGAAAAAGTCATCAATCTACGTTACTGAAGCTCAAGTGGTCTTCTTCAAGTGTTATTAAATATGTAATTATATACTTCAGATATATTTTATAAATAATTGGTTTATCTACATTTTTCGATTTTTGAACTACTTCAGCCGACCCTGATAAAAATTAGTAAAAAAAAAATAACTTAAACAACAACAAAATTATTATTAAAGTTTTTTTTAAATTTTATGCAACGCACACAAGAAATTTGCCCAGAAGAAAATAAACCGAAATTTTTATAATGGTGAGATAAAAAGATATTCGTAAGAAAGACTTTTGTTTGCACAAGGAACAAAGTAAAATTTCATTAAAAATATTTTAGAAATTTAAGCCAAGAAATGCCAAAACACAAATGTACCCAAAAGCTATTCAGCGGTTATAGGGATTTTTGTACTAACTAAGACACAAAGGAGAAGGAAATGACTGGAATTTTACTTCTTTGGCGTATTCATAATTTAAGCTAATGCAAAAGGCATTAGGTTAAAGCCTACAAAAATTTATGTCCTCTATTATTGTCGAGAAATGTTAAATACACAGTGGACCCCATTGTTAGTAGTTGGCTTAACAATTGACAGTTGGACAAAACGGATCAACTTAAATAGCCCTTTATTCCCACCAAGAAAGAGTATGACTTTCATTTACCAAAATATACAAAAAATTGAAAAATTGTGTTATCAAAAATTACTTACAAAATGACAAACTGAAAGGTAAGAGAAGTAGTAGTAATTGGTTTGCCAATACGTCATAACTGTTGTCAAAAATATTTGCGACATCATTTTTTATATTAAATATTATTTTTTAGTTTAATAATAAGCCTTTCATACGAAAAACTCAAAGTAATTTGTGTTTAAATCAATCATTTAACAGAATAAATTTTCTCACCAACGTATTAAAAAGAGCTACAGTGGTAGCTCTGTTAAACGGACGATCTCTCAAAACCATACGCATCTTCATCATGCAATGTTCTTCGTTTTTAATATTCTTGAAACTGTGTTCTTTTAATCAGGCACATTTACTGGATCCGTTTGTGTTTAATTAAGGGCTTTATTTTATTTTTATTGTATTTTGTTTTGTTTCTTTTAATATATTAAATTTTAACATTATATGTTAAGAGTGAATTAAGAGTGAATTAAAAGTGAGTTCTCAATCATCTCCCAGCCTATATTTTCCTTTTACTCTTTTGTCTCATTGTCTGTCACTACCTCACTGCTTTTGCATCTGTCTCTCTCTCTCCCTCTCTCTCTCTCTGTCCACTTTGCTTCCTCCGTCTTTATTTCGTTTACTCTGTATCTCTCACCTCGTCTGTCTACGCAGTATTTCACTGCCTCCCTCTCTCTCACACATGTTCTCTATCTTTCTATCATACTCTCTATTTCTCTCTTATATTCTCTATCTCTCTATCACGTTTTCTATCTTTCTCTCACGTCATTCTCATATTCTTCATCTTCCTGTCACGTTCTTTATCTGACACTTTCTTTTTCTCTTACGTTCTCTATTTCACTCTCTTACGTCTTCTGTTACTTTCAATCTACCTGTCTGTTTTGATTTCTTTCTTCTCTTTGTTTTTCTCTTTATATTTTTGGCTTTTTTTCTGTCTTTCTTCCTCTCTATCTATATTTTTCTCTTCTTCCGTCTTTGTCTTTGTGTTTGTTTATAGTAAACTTTCCCCTTCTTTCTTCCTCGTACCTCCTTCTATCTTTCTCTTTCTGTCCTTTTCTCCCTGTCTTTCTCACATTGTGATAGGTTTTATAAATCTTACAAAAGAAAGTTCATAGTCTTTGGAACTTTTCAAAAATGAGTTTATCAAATAGATATTGAAAGATTATAAACTTACAAATGAAGCCACACTCTGGCTTCAAATTTGGTTTTATATTTAATCAAATAAAACTAAAGTACAATATACTAGATACTTAGGAAAGTATAATAAATTTTAACAAATCAAAGTATGTGGGAAATACTCATAGTTATTATTAACAGATTTGACATATAGAAAATTGATTTTATTCATACTAATAAGAATGCTTAGCAATATTTTTTTGTTGAAAAGTATATCGGTAGTTAATCGTAGGAGTGTAAGACTTGAAAAAAAATAACTGTGAGTACTTTTGCAGATTAATAGATGTAAAATCTAACCTAATAAAATTAAAATAAAATGATGTTATTAAAATTTTGGGTTCTTTTTATTATTGCTAGTTATTGACGACAAAAAAATGTAAAGCTACCTTATTAACCCAGTTATTGAATTTCAACTTACACATTGAAGTGTTTTGATCACTGAATGTCTTCACAAATGCTCAAATAATTATTTAGTTGAAGGTAGAAAATCTAAAGACAACAGAGTGTCCTTATAAATAAAAACATCTTACATATGAACAATAGTATTCAATTTAATTATATTTATATATCAATAAATTCAACTTACACATTGCAATTCAACGTTTGAACAACTTTGATCAGTCAATGTCATCATCACATGTGCTCAATTAATTAATTAAAGGGAAAAAATATGAAAAATACAGTAACATTATAAATTAATGCATTAGACCCATATACTATCTAATACAATTATATTTATATTTATATCTTAAACTTATGTTCGATAATATCATTATTTGGCTTTATAACATATAGTCATCAACCAATCATCTATTTGCTGAATTCACTCTGCTTGAATTCACAAAAAATATCTTGTGAAATTTCAATCGAATGGCTCAAAAACTGAGTCTAATATACTCAACAAATAACAATAAGAAAAACAGGCTTCCAAAGAAACAAGCAGCCGAAAAAACAGATTATTAGACAAACCAACAAACAGATAGACTAGTTTCTAACGATGCTTTTGCTTTTAAGAGTTTATGTTTTTGTGTTACCCAAAATGTTATGAAAATCTAGACAAACTTTTATGCTCTTCATTTACAATATTGTGAAAGCTATTAAAAAAGTTTATAAGCCACTTTACTTCTATAATTGAAACTTATGATAATATAAATTATATTTTATTATTATAATCCTTTAAGGCTACGTTTAATAATTTAATGCATCTTATTGAAAATGCAATGTGCACCACATTTCAAGCTCCATGTGCTGTGTGAACACATTTCAGTTTCTGTTGATGCAAACTGACTTTATTATTTTAATATTGCAGTATTATTTTCATTATTTTAACTTGACATATATTGTTTTCTTTCTAAATTTTAGTTGATGCTGAGTGGAGCAGAAAAGATAGCAGAAGATAGCAGAAATTATTTAATATTTTTGTAGCATACTTTGTGGCATAACAATGCATCATAGCGTGGCTTTGCCAAATATTAAAGCTAATAGGATTAGCGCAAAAGTAAACTTAAAGTCCATTAAGCTGTTTAAGCGGTTTAAGCTGTTATACGGGTATACGGTTATAATCATAAATTTTATTCTTTTTGAACTGAACTATTTCTGGTGGCGTGTATTTACCACCTCACATCCTTGATTTCTTTAAGGACAACAACAACAGTGCTGCACTGTGGATTGTTGTTGGGTGAGTTAAATGGGGTTGGGAATAATTGTAAGATGAACCGAGTGAGCACTGTGAAAAGAATACCAATGTATGTTGGTTTGGAAATACAATAAAATAAGTTAACTGGAATATCTAGAGTTACACAGAAGAGAAGAAAGAAGGCTCTTCATATATTGTATTTGCACTTATTTATGGTAAAATTGTGTATTGTGTGTGTCAGGCGTAAGTTTGGGGAAAGGTGTTTGCTACCACGAGTGCATATGAAATGAAAAGCAAAGTGGGAAGAAAGCCTCAATGCGACCATTGAAACCGAAACAAAATTTTGCCTGTAACTACTAGTAATGCTTGCTTGACTCTGTAAGCGCATAGATTTTTTCTGTGGTTTTAGTGGTTGTTGCAGTGCAGTTTTTTTTTTATTTTTGGATTTTTCGTACTTACACTTTGTTAAAATTGTTATCTTTCTTGTACAGAGAGTTAAGTATGGAAAATGCACTTCTGTTTTGTTTTGTATGTGTATTCATTTTTATGCAACTGCTCTTGGCAGTATGCCTAAATCAATAAAACTCGTATTAGTTAGGTGGCTAAACACATAGTCGGCTAGCTATGCTCTTACGTCGTCGTCTCCAGCGTCGTCGGTGTACATGATGATGATGGGAGAAACTGCTC